TAGATTAGGTGCATATCGGGATGTAATGTTCCATCTCTTGTATAGGGATTAGCTAGCAGTTTTTCTATCATACTCGAAGGAATTTCAAAGTAAATATTTTCAGTAGGTTCAGTAGGTTGAGGAGCAACTCTTTGCTCTTCTGGTCGGGGTGAAGATACCCCAAACAAGCCCCTCAAAGGATTATTTTCCATAGTAACAAATGATAGTAAATTTTAGCACACTATATAAATGTTTCCTTACCAAATTCCACCTACCAAAGGCGCTTCACTCCCCGGCAACGGTGCCAGAAAAGAGTCTTGATGACCCACAAGTATAGTGGATCTATCGTAGTCCTTTTGATAAGTAAGAGTGTCGAACCCAACGAGGAGCAGAAGGAAATGACAAGCGGTTTTCAGTAAGGTATTCTCTGCAAGCATTGAAATTATCGGTAATAGATAGTTTTGTGATAAGGTAATTCATAACAGGTAACAAGTAACAAAAGTAAACAAGGTGAAGCAAGGTGGCCCAATCCTTTCTGTAGTAAAGGACAGGCCTGGACAAACTCTTATATAAAGCAAAGTGCTCCCGAGGACAGATGGGAATTACTGTCAAGCTAGTTTTCATCATGCTCATATGATTCACGTTCGTTACTTTGATAATTTAATATGTGGGTGGACTGGTGCTTGGGTACTGCCCTTCCTTGGACAAGCATCCCACTTATGATTAACCCCTCTCGCAAGCATCTACAACTACAAAAGAAGAATTAAGGTAAACCTAACCATAGCATGAAACATATGATCCAAATCAGCCCCTTATGAAGCAATGCATAAACTAGGGTTTAAGCTTCTGTCACTCTAGCAACCCATCATCTACTTATTACTTCCCAATTCCTTCCCCTAGGCCTAAACAATGGTGAAGTGTCATGTAGTCGACATTCACATAACACCACTAGAGGAGAGACAACATACATCTCATCAAAATATCGAATGAATACCAAATTCACATGATTACATATAACAAGACTTCTCCCATGTCCTCAGGAACAAACGTAACTACTCACAAATCATATTCATGTTCATAATCAGAGGGGTATTGAATAGCATTAAGGATCTGAACATATGATCTTCCACCGAATAAACCAACTAGCATCAACTACAAGGAGTAATCAACACTACTAGCAACCCGCAAGTACCAATCTAAGGTTTTGAGACAAAGATCGGATACAAGAGATGAACTAGGGTTTGATAGGAGATGGTGCTGGTGAAGATGTTGATGGAGATTGACACCCTCTTGATGAGAGGATCGATGGTGATGACGATGGCGATGATTTCCCCCTTCCGGAGGGATGTTTCCCCGGCAGAACAACTCCACCGGAGCCCTAGATTGGTCCTGCCCAGGTTCCACCTCAAGACGGCGACGCTTCATCCCGAAAGCTTCCTTCTAATTTTTTCCAGGGCAAAAGACACCATATAGCAGAAGATGGGCATCGGGGGCCTGCTTGGTGGCCCACGAGGCAGGGGGCGCGCTCTCCACCCTCGTGGCCGCTGGGTAGCCCCCCTCTGGTGCTTTCTTCGCCCAATATTTTTAATATATTCCAAAACCGACTTTCGTGGAGTTTCAGGACTTTTGGAGTTGTGTAGAATAGGTCTCTAATATTTGCTCCTTTTCCAGCCCAGAATTCCAGCTGCCGACATTGTCCCTCTTCATGTAAACCTTCCAGAAAAGGCATAAGTATTGGGGCATAATGTGTAGTAACAGTCCATAATGCAATAAATATTGAAATTCCAGCTGCCGACATTCCAGAAAAGGCATAAGTATTGTGACATAATGTGTAGTAACAGTCTATAATGCAATAAATATTGATATAAAAGCATGATGCAAAATGGACGCATCACCTAGCCGATCTAGTAGGCATCTCCCTACAAGAGTTAATAGATGGTGTTGTTGATGATGAACACCTTGCTCTTGTGCTTCGAACCCTCTCACACATTTTTGGCTTTGGTAGGAGAGAATTTGGGTGTAAAGCAATGAGGTGACTATAAATCAAAGATAAATGGTTGGAGTTGAATCCTCTTTGAAATCGGCACAAGAAAGTGGAGCTCTCTCTCAAAAATATGCTTATGGGTGGTTTTGCTTCGCTAGACAATGCTGGAGTTGGTGTGGGGGGTATATATACGCAACACAAAAAATTAGATCATTACACACACTTTCGAACACACCTGTGAGACCAACTAGTTTATTCAGTCAGATTGGTATGTACAAAAGGAAACAACTTTAGATTGTTCAGTCACACCAGGTGAAACTGATCTGTGGCTTCAAGATGTGATGACCTAAGCACTTTTGCACGCTTCAGTGGTTGTCACCAACTGAAGCTGATCAGAAATTCTGAAGGTCTTATAGAAGGTTGGCATATTTTCTTCAATGAGTCCAAATGGGCATCTCGTTGGGACCAATACAGCTAGGGTTTAGGACAATGACTATATCTGTTTGGCTTGGTGACTCTGATAGGAATGGTTCTCTGAGTTCGAGTAACACTTTGGATTTGATATAGTGGGAAATTATGAGTGTGTCTAAGGTTATTGGAGCTTGATCTCTAAGCACTTGAGCAATGAACTCGTCTTCTCAATCTCATCCCCTTTTAATAGTATCGGCATACCTATAGTCTCGATGTGATCTTCGATCACTTAAATATGAAATGGAGAGTCCTGAGGCATGAACCAACACTTGTCCATAACATTTTGAGGGGTCCAATTTCACCTCCCAAGTTGTATCTAAAATGAACTTTCCTCAAATATTCTTTGAATAGGTATTAGTTCAATGATATGTATGTTGACATAAATTACCAAACCACCCACAACATTAGATGTACTTTCACTGCCGATGCCCCTTGAGTTCACCAAGCACTTGACCATCGTCCCAGAGGAATTCATGTTGAGGACGAACACCGGCTGCGCCTAGAGGGTGATGGTCCGGACGATCAACGACAAGCTCGCCCTTGATAAGGGTTGGGCCTCCTTTGCCGTTGTTCACCAAATCAGGATCAGGTACCTCGTCACCTTCAAGCCGATGACTCCCAACACCCTGAAGGTGATCGTCTTCAATGTCGACGGCGTCGAGGTGGTGGCCAAGTGCAAGAGGCAAGATGGGGCCTTTGCCATGGATGTCTATGAAGTTATCTCTACACCGTTAAGACTTTTGCGTAGGATGTTTTAGATTTTTCCGCCATTGCTTGTTGTTTAACTGCCTTTGAGTGTGCGTAAGACTCTGGTATATGGGTTTTTGCTATGCTTGTTTATCTATGTTCAACCTGTAAGTGTGCTAGTAACCCACCACTTCAACAAGAGGTTACCAAATCACATGCCTTGCAAAATACCATGCACTCCGCATCTGCCTAGAACATGCCTACAACCAAATACCATGCGTATGTTTCTTCTTAGCTAGGCTGGGGAGGATGTAGGCAAACAAACTATGTGCACAAATGGTTTTTTATCCTGTATTCACTCAGCCAGGTCCAATTCAGTCACATATGTAAGGAGACACAAAACAATGGACGATGCTAGGCGTCGGTCAGCCGGCCCAACTTTCGTCCGGTCTCCTGCCGAGCACCAGATTGCGAGCGCGTCAACGACACAGATACACACATACTAGGTCGTCGCTGCCATCTTCCCTCTTCCCGTACATGTGCACGAAAAAAAGGAGGATCTCCGCGCTTGCCAGCCACCTCACGCTCACCCTTGGCTGCCCCGTGCTTGTTGGGCACCCCATGCCACCCGTGCTCGTCCTCAGCCGCCCGCATTCGTCTTCTCCCGTCGCCACTTAGGAACACACCTTTGTTAGTCGCAAAAAAACATGGCCGCCATCGTGGTAGAGATTTTCATTGTTGGTTGTAGCAAATGAAGATGCATGGTTACAGCAGAAAACGTCGTCGCCGCTAATTGTAGCTCACCATGCAGGTCGCAACATTTGCGTCGCCGGTTGTAGTAAATGACCTCACCGGTTCTAGCAAAATGACACCATGTGTCTAGCATTTTTGCTGCTGGCTGCATCACCTCTGTCACCGTCGTGGTCGTCGCCAATCTTAGCAGCGGCAACTGCCGCTTCAAGCGAATTGCATCTCTTGTTGTAGCAAAACAACATTGCGGCCAGGACCGTCGACTTTGTGTTCCGACAAATTGCATAGCCGGTTCCAGCTATTGGCGTCACTGGTTCCAGCAAAAAAAAACTCGTCGGTGGCAACATGCATCGCAGTGGTTGCAGCTCGCGAACCTTGTGGTCTCCGCCCGTGACCAAGAGCTTGCAAGCCATGGCCGCAGAAACACAACACGCAGACATGCGGTTCCTAGCGACGATGCACGCTAGTCGCAGCATCCGTGTACGGCCTAGAGCTCTGCGGCATGTCTGTGCGGTGGGGGAGGAGGAGGAGAAGGCCATGGCGACGAGCGCGCAAGCGGGGTGGAAAGAAGAAAAGACGAGGGCGAAAGGAAGAAGATAGTGATTGAGGGGAAGAGGGCTATGCATGGGTCTACAAAAACGCGTGGTACCTTGAAGTTGATGGGTTCTGCAGCGCGCGACGAATGCACAAGCGACCGATGCAATGCTCGGCTGATTGATTGTATTGAATCATTTACCGACTACAGTGTCAAAAACGCCTTTATATTATGCGACGGATGGAGTAGATCCTGCGCGCCCTTCCCAAACTTCCGTGGATCCAGACCCGTTAGGTAGGCAGAGCTCCACGAGTCCACCTGGCCCTAATCGCACCGAACCGAAGTGTGTCCTACTAGTACTAGTGATCGCTTACGGAACTCTCACACCCTCACTGATGTAAGGGCCCCATCACACCAGGGCCTACAGGTCATAGTAAGAGCCAAACGCTATGATCATATCACATGGCAGCGAGAAAAGAAAAGAGGGGAAAAAACGAACGCTCGCCGACGGCAAGGCGATCTATCTCCTGACGCCACCACCTTCAGCCTCGAGAGTCCAGATCCAAATCCGAACCCTAGTCCCCACGCGCTCTCATGGATAATTTCTTCAACTCCGTGTTCTCCGCCGCCGCCGCCGGCGAGCACGAGGAAGAGGAGGGCGAGGAGGAGGAGCGGGAGGTCGAGCAAGCAGCGGAGAGGGACGGGGGAGGCGATTCTGGTGGCGGGTGGAGCTTCGGTGGGCTGATGAAGACACTGGCCGAGGAGATTGAGGGGCAGCGGGAAGAGCAGGATGAGGGCGGGCAAGGCGGCATGGCGGCAGCGGATGAGGTGCAGGGGGAGGAAGGGGGTGGCTCCGGCGGCGGATGGAGTTTCGCTGGGCTGATCAAGACGCTCGCGGAGGACTTGCCTCCGCGGGACGAGCAGGAAGCCGCGGAGGATGAGGACGACGAGCTAGAAGCCGAGGCTCCGGAGGAGGAGGCGGGGGAGGAGGGTGTTTCCGGCGGCGGGTGGAGCTTCGGAGGATTGATGAAGACGTTCTCGTCGCGGTCGGAGTCGGTGCTCGAGGGCTACCGCCGCGACCTCCAGGACCTCGGGTCTGGCCTCCGCGTCGAGACCACGGCCCTTCGCGCAGCCGCTGCGCGGGCTGCGGCGGCGCTCCCTGGCGCGCTCGAGGCCGGTGCGTCCGTCGCTTCCGACAGGCTCGAGTCCGTCGGACAGGCTGTCGATGACCTTGGGGCCGCCGCTGCAGGACTTCTTTCCCATGCCAACGAGGCGCTCCGATCTGTCGACGCTGATGGCGAAGATGCTACCGGCGACGGCTCATCCCAACTCTCTGAGTCCGCCTCCGGAGCCTCCTGGCGTTCGTCCCTTCCGTCCAAGAAGTACACCCGTTTCGAGGCACAGGTTCTGGCGCTGCGTGCCGATCCTACCACGTTCACCGAGGAGCCTGAGGACGCCGAGGGGTTCAGCAGGTGGCAGGAGGCATTCAGCGTTGAAGAGAGAAAAGATGAGATTGAAGGCGTGCTCAGGGAGAGTCCTGGGTTGGAGAGCTTCGTGGAGAGGCTTGTGCCTTCGGTGGTAGCCTATGACATGTTCTGGTGCAGGTATTTCTTTGCGGTGGACAAGCTCAGGCAAGCAGAGGATGTCCGCACCAAACTCGTAAGCAGGGCCATGTTGAAGGAAGACGAGGAAGAACTCAGCTGGGAGGTCGATGATGACGATGATGATAATCAAGGTGATTACAAACAAGGCACTGTCACAATACCAGATAAGAAAGAGGAGCAAATCGGTGAGTCTGTTAGCCATGAAGCACAGGTTGAGGGAAAACAAGAAGTAGAAGCGAATGAAAAAAACGCAGCGGAAGATAAGGAGATGATTTTGGTAGCACCAAAGGACAATAATGGTGAATCCAGCGGTGAGGCATCGACACCAAAGTCAAGCAATGGCACTGGGCAGGAAGAGAAGACTGAAGCTGGCGACTCATGTAAGGAGAGTGATTTATCACTGGTGTCTCGACCGTCACTGCAGGAGGAAGATCTTAGCTGGGAGGAGATTGAGGATGTTGGTGATCAAGATGAGAAGAAAGCGGGGAGTCCACGGTCAAGCCCTAGTAGCAAAGTGGAGGATATCCGAAAACGGTTGAACTCTGTGCAAGACGATGAAGACCTAAGTTGGGATGTTGATGAGTAAGAGAAAGAAAAAATAGCGCACTCCTAAACTGAGTGCTCTAAAAAGCCTCAAGTTAAAGATGTTTCCATAGTTTTAACCTGTTTTTTCTCAAATGGGATCCTGGTGGTGTTCATAAAAATTCTCTTGGAGTTCTGTCTTACCATGTGAATATTGTGATGGTACACTGGCAATTCAAATTCAATGGGGCTGTATTTTGATTACCCCCACTGTAAGAACTTAACAGAATGGTAGTGTTCTTCTGTTATGGTTAATAACTTATTTGCGGTTAGTGTCCACTTATTTCTAGTTAAATCATTACCAGCTTTCTGTTTGAATATGATACATTAGATCATTTGCATTATGCACTCATTGTGACCGGTTTACCAAGCATGCTTTTGATATAGGTGGTTGCTATATATTCATCTGTTGCTTACTGGAAGGTAACTTGACTGGAGTTCATAGGTTGTTCTGCACTCCTGTCTTACATTTGCAGTGCTTGAAGGCTATTAGAAAATTTGGTTTCATAAAGACTACATTTTCACTGACGTCGTCATATCTGTAGGTCATTATGTTTGTTTCCATCTCTTCAATTTGTCTTTGGAATTGCTTTGATACGATCGTCGTTCTTCCTTACTGCCGATGCAACGATGTGAAATTGTATCAGTTTCAGTATAGGTAGCAATATTGGTTCGCTGTGAGATTGCATCTGTATTTTCAGTTTGCGGTCACCTTTTCTTTTACTGGAACAATATTCCATTAACCAACTGGTGCGGCAACGTCGCTAGCAACCGAACTAAACTGGTGCAGCAACGTCGCTAGCAACCAAACTCGATACAAAGTCCGGCAGATGCTCCGTCCAAACAGTGGCGGGCAGAGCTGCATGGAAACCAAACTGCGCTAAAGCATGCGCTACTGAATTACACGTCCTACGGCAGAATACAAACGATCAAAGTGTGCAAAGCATAGACTTCCAGCTTCACGGAACAACACACTTGGCTCCCCTTACACAAAATAAGAGGATCATCCTTGACAAATCTTGATGCAAAACCTGTGTTTGGATGATTAGGAGGAGAGTTCAAGTCCTAGACTTACACACCGGTGCTCGCATTTTTCTGGATTTATTCCAGGCCTTTCCGCGATGAGCGTTCAGTAGGGAGGAGATGTTTCCGTCGACTACGAAGGCGCCGTGGTGACTTCGTCAATCTCAAGATGATGTGTCGGCTTAGTCTCTCGAAGGTGCTCGTAGGGGTAAGATGTGCGTGCGTACGTTCATATGGGTGCGGGTGTATCCGTATGTATGAGCGTCCGCGTCTTAAAAAAATAGACAAAATAAGATTATGTTTTGGTTATAAAACATATATTTCTGTCATTTCTTAAACTGATAAAATAATTATATGTCTGTGATTGAGCTGCTTTATTAGTTTATCAAAAACAAGAGAATGATTGATATTTATTTTCTTACGAATCAGGGGATTTATTGCTATTTATTGGGTTATCAAACATGTCTATCGGATTTTATCATTAAAAACAGTTTATTTACCGACCATGAATTTATTGTTATAATACATATTGATCTGGTTTATTGGGTTACCAAGAATTAGTTCGATGAAATCAGAAGGGGATGAAAAACCCTAAAAATCGGCGAGGGGTGGGAGGACGGGCAAAGAGGTGATGGGGAGAAATTTTGACGAAAGATTGAACCCTACGTATTTTTTAAGTAATAAGAAGCAGAGATAGAGACTAAAATGATAGTCTAAAATCCTTAGGAAGTGTACGTATAGCAAAGAGAAAGATGGATCATATATACCAATATAGAAAGATCCAAACGGGTAGATTTAATAAATCTTGACCATCAAATCATGTCAATTCAACGACCTATTACCTCCGTCCTGGTTTATTAGTTCTCCTTGTAGTTTGGGTCAAACTTTGACCTTTGATTTAACTATCAAAAAAGAAATTATACATCCTAAAAATAGTATCATTGGAAATCTCTTCCAAATATAAATCAAATAATATAAGTTTTATGACATACAACTCAAAATTTGTTAGTCAAATCTACATTTTGTGCCCAACTTTGAACGTTTGACCCAACTCTTTCAAACATGTAAAATGGTCGCCATTGAAACAATATACTACCTACGTCCAGGTTTGTTGGTCCCCACAGGAGTGTCTTTCGGCCTATTAACGGCCCACACATGAGTTGGGTCATTTACGGTCCGACCTGACTTTTGGCCTCTTAACGTCCCATGTTCTGCATGATCCAATTCCAGCCCGGTGTGTCTTTTGGCCTATTAACGACCCACACCAGAGTTGAGCCATTTACGGTCTGACCTCATTTTTGGCCTCTTAGCGGGGCGGCCCATGTTCACCGAGGCATAATTCCAGCCTGACCTGGCTTTGGGCCTGTTAACGGTCCGTGTTGTTTACTGGCCCACTTATGGCCCGCTTGGGTTTCGGCCTATTAATAACCCGACATTGAAATGGGCCAAGCATTAACGGTGGTCCATTTTCTGCCTACTAATGGCCCATTGGCTCATTTCAATTATTGCGGCCCAATGGAGATTTCGGCATGTTAATGACCCGTCAACTAATTGGGCCCGCTAAAATTCCAGCATGGTTGTAGGCCCAATTAGCCCACATCGATTTTGGCCCAGCTATTACTTTGAGCCTATTATGAGGACCATTTATGGATAGCGGCAAATCCGATCCATGAAAGGCCCAAGACAATTTTGGCCCAGCTAATATGAGCCCATTACAAGGCCCATTACGGACAGTGGGCCGCTCCCCTCGATGAAGGGCCCACATCGCTTTGTTCTAGTTATTAATATCACTTTATAGTTTAGCTTGTTATCCGCCAGTTGAGCTTTCGACCCAGAAAGCTGGAGTGCGAGCCACACTAAGCAAATATAAGGCATACAAGGAAAAATGTAGCACATCGAAGCATATGTTATAGGAAATTACATCCACTAGGCAATCAAAGATTGATGCTAGTATAAATAAATGAATGGGCTTAATGATCTACAACCTCAGCGCGGATGACGCCCTTAAGCATGTGAGCAAGTTCTTTATTCTTTGCTATACTGTCACTGGAATCATCGATTAGTTGTTGTTGCGCAAGAATGTGCACCTCTTATTACTCCATGATTTCCATCATTGCTTCAACCAGTAATTGGTTCACAAACATACATCTTTTTGTTAGATTATAGACAGAGGAAACTGAACAGATTCATATGACGATTTTGTCAAGCTTCTATCACTGATAGTGCAGAGTGTCTTGACCGCTGCATCATAACTTAAATTAGGGGGGACTGAACATATTAATCAGGAGTTATTACCATATTACCTGCACTAGATTTATTGGATAAAAACAATGGGTTTGCCTTGCTGTCTTCAGACTTTGTCTTCTTATCTTCAGCATCCTACACCAAAATTAACACACTATGGCATTGCTATCGTTGGCCAGGTTAGATAATAGGAAGGCAACATTGATACAATGAATATTTGGGCAACCAGACCACACCAGCCTGCATCAAATTAACACAATATGGCACTGCTATCATCAGCCAAATAAGTTAATAGAAAAGCAACATTGCACAATGAACGATTGGGCAACCGGACCACAACACTAGATTTTAGTAATGTGCAATATATGAGATAGTACAATCATGCAACTTAGTATGCTCCTTACAAAAATCTACATTAGCGCCTTAATTATACATTTTTCTACAAGTAAATTTAGATTAGATAATTGGTGTAGGATACTGAAGGTTGGATTCACGCGATGCTACTTAACAAAATACATACTAATATAAAAATACAGTGATATACAAAATGTATTTACATACGGATTGGAGCACAGAGCATTTCTGCAAGATACTTTCCTCGAACACGATCTCAGTTTAGAAGGTTTGCTATCCTTTAAGCATATTTTCTACAAGTGAGATGCGTAAGACACATGTAGAAAATATAAGTTCAAATGTGATCTGAATGTTATAAAATTTCATGATGCGAGGATACGCACACGCTTCTTAGCAAGGAGTTGACATATTTTTGCTGGACTGGAGCGGACAGGTTCTTGGGCTACTAGAATCTGGTTATTATGTGGAGGAGTTCGATTTCTCTGTGCTGGAGCAGTTTCTATGAACACTGGAGTTGGGTTACTATCTCTTGGAGTTTGGATCTTTTGAAAAGTCCTTGTCTGTAGCCCTTCAGATTCTAACATAGCCCTCTTCCCCTTGCATGCCTTATATAAAAGAATGGCGCTTCAGTTACAAAACATGCTATGACAGAGAGATGGAATAGGTACTGAAGAATGGAAAGGCATGGCATATTGACATGTACTCCTTCCATCCAAAAATAAACGGATGTGTCTAGACGTATTTTAGTTCTAGATACATCCATTTTTACCCATTTCCATGACAAGTAATCTGGATGGAGAGAGTATGATGTACAAGCTAGGGATACGACATGACAACAGAGTAAAAGAAACACTAGTTAATGTAAAACTGTATGGTAGCTGGATAGGTACATAAAAACATGAAGGCAACGTATGCGCACGTATGATGGGAAAACTAAGATGGCATTGCAAGAGAATAGTAGAACAACACTTCAATGTTAAAAAGCATGGTATGGTACACAGATGGAGTACATACTTATGAATAACAATGCATGAGATATTCAGAAGGATGATGTCCAAACTAAGCAGATGGCATTGTGACAGAGTAGAATGATAGTACTTGTATTTGAAAACATGTTATCATGAATGGAATAAGTACTGAAAAACAGAAGGCATGCCATATTCACATGTATGATCAACGGGCTAAGCACAAGGCATTGCAACAGAGTAGAGGAATTGCAAGACATTATATGCACGATGCTACCCATACCATGGGCCAAATTAGAGCAAGGACCTTGTCGGGTGAATAGGAATCATCATCTTTTTGCAACTCTTTTGAAGAACTACATTTAACTGTTCCATCATATTCGATATCATTGACGAAGAGTTTGTTGGCCGTTGCATT